ATAAGCACCAGCAATTAAAGTAATAAACAGACCTTAACCATCTACAGTCTCATTATTTACCTTGCCACGAAGTCTGGCAAAAGGACGGAAGGGGGGGGGGGGGGGGTGAGGGATTGGGCCTCCAGTAACCTCGCTTACACGGCGAAACACAACGCTATGGTTGTTTCACGCCGGTTTCCTGCGAGGCCGTGGTATATGGCTCTCCCACACTCATGATATAAACCGACCTCTAACAACTTAAAACATGTAAAAGGAGTTCAGAAAATTATTTTTATAACCATTCCATTAATTCGTTTTTCCTTTTCCAGGTGATTCGGGTGGCCCGCTAATAGTTTCCGACAACGGTCGCTACTACTTAGTAGGTATCACGTCAGCTGGCTTCGGCTGTGGAGTAGACCATCAGCCTGGCATCTACCACAATGTGAAAGTCACCAGCACATGGATCCGAGGAGTTGTCTCCGAACATACCAACTATATTGATTTTTGATAGTGCGTTTTGTTAATCTTGTCATGTTCAACTACCTTTTTTGGAAAATGTGTGTACAGAATTTGTAATCGACTAAAACGACAATAGATTTTTTTTAAACTTTGCCCCACACTAGGTTTTTCTCCTGTGTTTACAAACATACAATTTCACATGCCTACACATCACACCCAGATCTGGAACAATACAATTTCAGAGAAAGGTTTAGGTTAATCTTGTCCTCAACATACTCTCTAAAACTATCCCAGTCAGTTTTATAATTATAGAGTACGTCGTTAGGCTCATGATAGACAACGGTTTTACCCAGTCTTAGGATAATGGGGGTATGGTCTGAAGAACCGTCAAGACAGGATTCAATTTGGGCGAACTTGTGGCAAATGTTTTTTGTGACAAAAAAGTCAACGAGGTCGGGGAGCTTGTTCCTATCAGTTGGCCAGTATGTTGGTTTACCTGTGGATAATGATGTCATGCGTTTTGCATCAATGCTCTTTTTGAGTTCGCGTCCCCTGGTCAACGTGAGCCTCGACCCCCAGTGGGTATGTTTGGCGTTCCAATCTCCTCCTGCTATGAATGTATTTCCTAGGGTCTCAAAATACTCCGAAAACATGTCTTCATTGATACTGTGCCTAGGCGGACAATATACAGCCGAGATGTTAAAAGGCCTTGAAGGATCTTCCACTCTAACTGCCGTAGCCTGGAGGTGTTCAGTCGCAAATGGTTCCAGTAGATAGTGTCTTATACTATTTTTAATTACCACGGCAGATCCGCCATGTGATCGACCACTTGGATGGGGGGTATGGTACACGCAGAAGCCGGGTATGCGTATTTCACTCCTGACTGTCGTGTGAGTTTCTGATATCAGGCATATATCGATCTTGTGTTCTATGAGGAATACTTCTAACTCATTTGTGTTGGGTGCAATGCCATTTATGTTCCAGGCGGCTATGAATAAACACATCATTTTGTGAGTTTTGAGACGAGAGTAGTTATAAGGCTCAATAGTGAACCTATTTGTTGAATTAGGAGATCCATTTTTTCGCTCTGCTTCATAAGAATATGCTCCAATGTGTTGGTTTGATGTTGGCCAGCTTGGGATCGATCTTGGGATGCAGAGTTAGATCCATGAACAGCTTCTGCATAAGATTTTTGATGAGTTTTTATTGGGTCTCGTGTGTTGCTGGTGGGTTGGTCAGCTGCAGGATTCAGTACAGTTTGTGTCTGCTGCACCCTTGCACGTGGGGTGCGGTTATTTTTGCGAGCTAGGATCTCTTTGTACACCTCACAGCCTTTATAGTTTGCTGGGTGGTCACAAGAGCATAGTGCACATTTGGCTGGAGTGGATCTATCCTTCTTTGTGCAATCTGAAGTTTTGTGCCCTTCTCTACATTTGACACATCTATGAGGTCGCATGCAGTTATTTTTGGTGTGGCCATACTGTTGACATCGCTGGCATTGAGCAATACTTTTAGCTTTACGCGGATCTTCTATTTTGACTTTTTGATTAAATATATACTGTATGTTTTTGATCTCGCGATTGTGAATGTTTTGCTTCACATTAACAAAAAAGGTTGAGGTGGGTCTCTTGTTTGGACCATACCGAGCATTAATTATCTCACCGACAATTTCATTGTTAGTAGCTTCGACTGCTTCCCTTATCGCTTCATGGGGTGTGGTGTGGTGTAAGTCCTTGATGACAAAACGGTAGCATTTAACATCTTTTGGCGTGAATGTGTGTCCGATGAGACCGTTCTCGCGTATGAGGCTAATCGCATTTTTATAGTTTTCTGCTGTATTAATCATAACCCGTATGTTGTTTTTGTTTATTATCCTATACTTGAAATCAGCTGGGCTTATAACAGTCTCTATTAATCTGGTCAGTTCCTTGAGATCATCTACACCATAAAGAATGATTGGTGGAGGCTTGCTAGGTACCGGTTGTTGATTAACTTCTTGTTCCGTTATATCGATTGGAAGACCAGTAAATCGATTTCCTGTTTGTCTTGTGGTAGGCGGAGGTGATAGCTCGCTGGTCTTGCGTTTTTTTGGTTTTGGCACACGTTGCCATGTTGGGGGTAGCTTTTCTATATCTGGCAATTCAGAATCGGGTATAGTTGTTGGCAGATTGTTGGATGCTGCACTTAAATTCAGCACAGAAGGCACAGTAGTTGTATTATTTTCTCTAGGTAGCACATCACTAAGAGAGTTAGACCTCTGCCTGATGAAGAGAGAAGGATGGAATATTTGTTGGGTCATGGCTTTCTTGCTAGTTTTCGTAGCAGTAGCATGCACTGCAGTATTTCTATCATCATTATCGCTGTTCATGGTAGATTTCAAAATTCTACTATGGCAACATTTTTCCAACTGTCAGATGACATGACAATATGACGATATGTCATAAAAAAGTATTATGAGAAATAGTAAAAAATATGTAGGTAGGTGAAGAATGATTCGAAAAAACCGGCCAAGTGCGAGTCGGGCTCGCGCACAAAGGGTTCCGTAGCAGCAAATATAATAAACTTATTATGTCAATGCACAATGCATTTAAGGTACATTACTGGATAAGGATTAATGGCGTATTGCTTGAATAAGCTAATATTTCTCGTAAAAAGTACCTACATTATAAAGATTTTATATCATCGCGGATTTTTAAAGGTGTACAATACTGTAGTATATTTTTTGATCTATCTTATAAGGTTCAGCCATCGTTTTCAGTGTAAGCACAATAACTTAACCAAAATTACAGTTAAATCAACCTATCTCAAAAACTATAAGAGATACTTTGATCAAACCAAAAATCGTTGAAAGAGTTAATTAGCATGCATCACCTCTATTTTTTTTTAGAATTTTATACCCCGTAGTTATAAAAATAGAGGGGGGGGGGACATACTTTTTACGACTTTGAGAGCTGATATCTCAAAAACCGTTCACTTTAAGAAAAATGTTTTTTAGAAAACTTTATATCATTTTAAAAGACCTTTCCATTGATACCCCACACGGGTATGTACATCGAAAAAAAAATTTTCATCCCTCAGTTACATGTATGGGGGGCCCCACCCCCAATTCTTTTTTTTACTATTTAGTGTCATAATTTTGTAGCGGTTCATACAACACATATTCCCATCAAATTTCATCACTGTAGTACTTATAGTTTCCGAGTAAATCGGCTGTGACAGACGGACAGACGGACAGACGGACATGACGAAACTATAAGGGTTCCGTTTTTGCCATTTTGGCTACGGAACCCTAAAAACGATTGTCACTTCGTAACTTTAATCACTTTTTCTGTTTAAATCACCAAGCACTATGAGTTACTAATAATGGCACATAAAAATCACTATATTAAGATTGTTTTTTGAGTATTTCCATGCACTAATATGAAGATTTGCAGACAAAAAACACAAAAAACTTCGAGAGCACTTTTGCGTGTGGATTGTGGAATTTAGCACTTAACGAGAAAAAAAACAAAATGTATTAAATTTAGCTTGCCCAACGTACACAGTAATGATTGTAGCATAATTTTAAATGGGCAAAAGTTAGAATTTGTCAACGAGACAGTATGCTTCTAGGTATCACACTAGACAATAGACTTCAATGGGGTTCCCACATAAAGACGCTTTCGGGGAGACTAAGCTCTGCTGTTTTTGCAGTTAGACAGATAAGACAGCTCACAGACGTGAACACAGCAAGGCTTGTCTATTTTAGAATCAATATTTATTCTACAAAAGCGGGCTATCCGAGCGATATATAACTTACCCTGTCGCGAATCTCTGAGAGAACTATTTAAAACGATAAATATCCTGACGGTGCCTTGTCAGTTTATATATGAAAATATTACGTATGTAAGGAAAAATTTGCAATTATTTGAAAAAAGAAGCGATACACATAATTTTAATAGAAGAGGCAAAGATAGGCTGGCTGTGCCACGATTCCGTCTGTCCAAAGTAAATCCTTTATGGGGTTCTGTGTAAATTGTTACAATAAAATTCCAAGTACTGTATTGAATCTTAACGAACGAAAAGTTAAAACTTATATTAAACGCGAATTGTGTAGACAGGCATACTACAAACTTTCAGATTATATTGAGGATAAGAATGCCTGGCAGCGTGTTGATTCGGCTCCACTGGACAATACTCAAATATAGTCAGCAGTTAGGTAAAATCCTCAAAAATAATGCATTCTTAATTTATACACATATCCAAAAAGATTATAGAAGCACTCTTAAAGATTGTGAGTACGCATATGTGAGCACCATGTTCGAGACGACAAAGGAGTAAAATTTTATGATAGGATCATTTGTTCTTTTTTTTAACAACTTGTCTCTGCATTGTTCTCACATAAGGGTACAATAATGTATACTATAAATGTTATATTATTGAAATTGTAAAACATGTTTTTTTAAAAAAGAGTAACGAATGGAGTTTCTTGCTCGTTCTTCTCCATTCGAATCTACAATTTGGAATGAGCACCTAGCTTCACTGACTCTCTATTTTGACCTTTCAAAGAACCTATTTATGGTTTAGTTGGAAGAAATGATTTTGACTCTGTCTCTGTCTCTGTCTCTGTCTCTGTCTCTGTCTCTGTCTCTGTCTCTGTCTCTGTCTCTGTCTCTGTCTCTGTCTCTGTCTCTGTCTCTGTCTCTGTCTCTGTCTCTGTCTCTGTCTCTGTCTCTGTCTCTGTCTCTGTCTCTGTCTCTGTCTCTGTCTCTGTCTCTGTCTCTGTCTCTGTCTCTGTCTCTGTCTCTGTCTCTGTCTCTGTCTCTGTCTCTGTCTCTGTCTCTGTCTCTGTCTCTGTCTCTGTCTCTGTCTCTGTCTCTGTCTCTGTCTCTGGCTCTGTCTCTGTCTCTGTCTCTGTCTCTGTCTCTGTCTCTGTCTCTGTCTCTGTCTCTGTCTCTGTCTCTGTCTCTGTCTCTGTCTCTGTCTCTGTCTCTGTCTCTGTCTCTGTCTCTGTCTCTGTCTCTGTCTCTGTCTGTATCACCTTCACCTTCACCTTCACCTTCACCTTCACCTTCACCTTCACCTTCACCTTCACCTTCACCTTCACCTTCACCTTCACCTTCACCTTCACCTTCACCTTCACCTTCACCTTCACCTTCACCTTCACCTTCACCTTCACCTTCACCTTCACCTTCACCTTCACCTTCACCTTCACCTTCACCTTCACCTTCACCTTCACCTTCACCTTCACCTTCACCTTCACCTTCACCTTCACCTTCACCTTCACCTTCACCTTCACCTTCACCTTCACCTTCACCTTCACCTTCACCTTCACCTTCACCTCACCTTCACCTTCACCTTCACCTTCACCTTCACCTTCACCTTCACCTTCACCTTCACCTTCACCTTCACCTTCACCTTCACCTTCACCTTCACCTTCACCTTCTCCTTCTCCTTCACCTTCACCTTCACCTTCACCTTCACCTTCACCTTCACCTTCACCTTCACCTTCACCTTCACCTTCACCTTCACCTTCACCTTCACCTTCACCTTCACCTTCACCTTCACCTTCACCTTCACCTTTACCTTTACCTTCACCTTCACCTTCACCTTCACCTTTACCTTCACTTTCACCTTCACCTTCACCTTCACCTTCAACTTCACCTTCACACTCACCCTCACCTTCACTCTCACCCTCACCTTCACACTCACCTTCACACTCACCCTCACACACTCACACTATCCTTTACCTTCGCATTCACCTTCACCTTGACCTTGACCTTGACCTTCATCTTCACCTTCACCTTCACTTTCACCTTCACACTCACCCTCATCCTCACCTTTACCCTCACCCTCACCCTCAACTTCATCCTCGCCTTCACACTCACCTTCACCTTCACCCTCTCCTTCACCTTAACCTTCACCTTCACCTTCACCTTCACCTTCACCTTCACCTTCACCTTCACCTTCACCTTCACCTTCACCTTCATCTCACCCTCACCTTCACCTTCACCTTCACCTTCACCTTCACCTTCACCTTCACCTTCACCCTCACCTTCACCTTCACCTTCACCTTCACCTTCACCTTCGCCTTCACCTTCACCTTCACACTCACACTCACACTCACCCTCACCTTCACCTTCACCTTCACACTCTCCTTCATCTTCAACTTCACCTTCACCTTCACTCACCCTCACCTTCACCCTCACCCTCACCTTCACCCTCAACCTCACCTTTACCTTCATGATTGGCGATTAAATTTTAAGTTTACGGAGATTTAGGGATGTAGGACGGATGGGGGTAGGGTGAGGGATTGGGCCTCCAGTAACTCCACTTGCACGACGAAACATAACGCTATGGTTGTTTCACCCCGGTTTTCTGCAAGGCCGTGGTGTATGGCTCTCCCACACTTATGATATAAACCGACCGCTAAAAACTTAAAACATGTAAAAGGAGTTTAGGAAATTATTTTTATAACCATTCCATTAGTTCGTTTTTCGTTTTCCAGGTGATTCGGGTGGCCCGCTAATAGTTTCCGACAACGGTCGCTACTACTTAGTAGGTATCACGTCAGCTGGCTTCGGCTGTGGAGTAGACCATCAGCCTGGCATCTACCACAATGTGAAAGTCACCAGCACATGGATCCGAGGAGTTGTCTCCGAACATACCAACTATATTGATTTTTGATAGTGCGTTTTGTTAATCTTGTCATGTTCAACAACCTTTTTTGGAAAATGTGTGCACAGAATTTGTAATTGACTAAAACGACAATAGATTTTTTTTAAACTTTGCCCCACACTAGGTTTTTCTCCTGTGTTTACAAACATACAATTTCACATGCCTAAACATCACACCCAGATCTGGAACAATACAATTTCTGGATCACGTAGTGTTTTTCCGTGGCAGCCAGTTGCGCAATGACCAGCTATCGCGGCAACCGTTCAGTCAAATACTACTTTACCCTTTGGCCTAACGGCAGGATTGTATTTTCTTGCAATGTTTTTCTTACAACTATTGGATATTTGTCATAGTTTTATAATTTTGCCGTCAGAATCAGACAGGACAAGATTTTTAAACGAACTACAATAGTCTCTCTAACTCCGTCTATTTTACATTGACGCTTATATGCCAATCATAATAATGTTTGTACATTTAAAAGATGTACGTTATTTTCTTTAAGTTTGCATTCCAATTTATTATGAATTTTAATTGCCAGGAATACATTCACTTCAAATATTAGTAACCAAATTATCGAAATTCTTGTGACGTTTTGTTTGGTAATTAAAACTCATAAATAAGGCCAGCGATCGTGCTGTGAACAAAACTGACTTGCCATTTCCAATCTCGTGTAAAAATTCATTAATCTCTTGATTTGATCTCCCTTGTAATTTATTAATTAAATGTTAAGTGATGTGCAATTGTTGTTATAAAACCATTGAGTTTTATTTTTCAAATCCTTCACCCGTAGTACATGCTGAGCATGATTGTCTTATGTATATGTATAAAAATGAACCACAAAATAAAGGTAAGCATAACTCAACAACACTTCCACGCAACGACCAATTTTGCCAATTCTTTTTGGTGTTGTAATTATTGTAAGGAGATTGTTCTTATCAAAGAAAATATTAGAAAAGTATATGGAGATTGGAAAAAAGGACCTGTCGTATCCGAGCGAGATAGTTGAAATAGCGCGAAGTGGGTACGAACGGGCCGCTAGTAAAAGATAAAAATATACGGATCAAAATTCGCTCTACATATAACGAAACGTACCTGACATTCGCTATCACATTGTCATTTATATTTTATCTCCTGACAGATGAGTGACATATAAACACGACATTGTTTTTATGAACGAGTATTTATTTATTAAAAATGCCTTTAATTATAATTTGTGGTACGCCTGTAAGTGGTAAAACATCAAGAGCGATAGAATTAAGAGATTTCTTTGTAAATAAACATGGAAAAAAGGTCGAGGTGGTGTCTGAAGATGAAGCAATAACTAAGTTAGGTTATGACAAGAACTCAACATATTTAGACTCACAGAAAGAGAAAAGAGTGAGAGGATACCTTAAATCAGAGGTTTTACGTCTTATAGGAAAGGATAATGTTGTTATACTGGATGGAAGCAACTATATAAAAGGTAAAACAACTAATAAGTTTACAACACTTCTCGAATTAATTGAAACCTTATATTGATGTATTTCTAAACATATGCACAACAGCTTCTGTTTTAAATAGAATGTAGGAAAACCATAAATGTTAATAAATAGATTTTTACTTTAAAAATGCTGATCCTGATATATATTGACAATAAAAATGAACATCTCTACCTATCTCATCTGGTTTAGAAGGTGTTATTATCATTTTATATTAGAATATACAAACAAGCAAATCGTTAATATAAATATTTGAGCAAAAATTAACTTAATTCATGCCAAATATTTTTTTACTAATCACAACAGCTGTCTTTTTTTCTTAAAATCTTGAATTTTTACATTCAAGATTTTGCTTTACTGAATTGAATTTCAACGAAGATATTGGTGATTTGGTGTTTATGATGTTGCAAGGATGATATGACGGGAGTAAGACCAGTATAGCAACATCATTATCAGTCTGATTTCATCCACTGCTGGACATAGGCCTCCCCAATAGCACACCACTGAGCTTGATGTTCAGCTCTTCTCATTCAACCACTGCCAGCCATCCTGTGGATATCATCCGTCCACCTAGCTGCAGCTACTTGCCACACCTATATTTTTTCTCTGTTCTTTGATCTGTCATATAGCCAATCCTAAATTCCAGGTTACCGCTACGAATTGTACTGCGCATCAAAAGCGTCAAAGTCGACACAATGTACTGTATACACTATAAGGAACCATGATGAGGCTTGGGAGGACAATCTGAAGAGGGAGAATGGCAGCTCCTCCATTCCATACACGGAAGAGGTGTTCAATGCTCTGTCTAGATTAAGGTGAGGGATTAATATCCTTTATAAATATATAGGGTCACTGGTAATTGGTGACCAATATTTAAACACGTGATTGTAGTCATGATTACAAATAACTTTCCCAAAGAAACTTTTTTCTATACTCATTAATTTAATTTTAATGACTATAGCAAAATTATTGTGCCAAATGAGGTCGCACGGGCGCCTTGTCGCTATCATCTCAACTTATCGGGCGATACACGACGGCCGCGCGAAATTTGTTATAAATAGTGAACTAATAAAAATGAACTACTATTACCCAACGGCGTACGGCAAGTATCGTTGTAGAGACACCTGCCTCCCGAACTAAGCGTTTTGCCTCGTCATTTAAACCGCGTACATCGAGGGATTGGAACAGTTTGCCGGTTGCAGTCTTTCCGTCCGAAATTCCAAATATAATTTAGGTGTCTTCAAGGCTAGAGTGAATAGGCTCTTAATAAACTAGTGCGCCTTACCATCAACGATTGCGTCACTGCTTACCATCAGGTGGGATCGCAGTCAAGCACTAGTTTATAACAAGTAAAACAAAATGAAACAAATAAAAACAAAACTATAAAATATTATTAAACAATTAGAAATGCACCAACTATTACCTGGTGCCCTGGTAGGACCATGTACGAAATTATTCGATTTTTAAATAGTTCTCTAGTGATATTATAATGTACTTACTTACTAATGGCATTATAGACAGAGTGCACCACTAAATGAAACTGAAAAAGTATTGTTATTCTAAGATTGAGAACAGCTGTAATTAATGTGTCTAATGTTTTGCAACTAGGTTTTTGACTGCCAACCAATTACTGTTGAGGCTAGATCCTCCACTAGCGTGGCCTACATGTTGTCCCCAATGTGATAACACAGAAATTGAAACCAAGATCCGTTTCTAGGCAAAAGTTTTAAATAAATAAAAGCTGTTATACTCAAAAGGCCGTGTTGAGGATGTCCAGAGGCGACGCAACCCGCTTACCATCAGGTAATCCTGCTGTGCTGATGAACGAGCATAATCGTTTGTCGCACTATACTATCCATCCACTACCCCAAACAGACTTTTTATGTAATAGTTAGGCAAACGAGCAGACGGATTACCTGATGGTAAGCAGGTTTAGGGATTTGGAGACTCAGGTATTGAGGAGGGATTGGGGGAGGGGAAGGATTGGGCCTCTGGTAACCTCACTCACACATCAAACACAACGCTGTGGTTGTTTCACGCCGGTTTTCTGTGAGGCCGTGGTATCGCTCCGGTGGAGCCGACCCATTCGTGCCGAAGCATGGCTCTCCCACACTTAAAACATTTTTGTATATTTAATTTTCTATTATTTACAATTTCAGGTTTGAAGAGCCGAATTCGAACAATAGATGGGACAGTCCGCTCTTTACAGTGCAACCTACAGACGAGATGAATTTAGAAGATGTGTACAAAGTTCTATTCGAGAAGAAACCGCCGCCGCCTAATATGAGTACACAGAATGTGAGTATAATCACGATATGGAATGTTAAATTTACCTATTACCTACTATTTTGATATGAATGAAAAATTTTCTTCGATAGCAATAGAGCGTATAATAACAGATTATTTTTACAATTTTGAGTGTATTGTGTGCTCGAGTGTCGAGCGCTTCAAAGTCACTTGCAAAGAGTGATAAAGGCGCGGCGCGCGGTTTTGGAACTAAATCGTAACATCATCTAGTAGTTGTGGGCTCGCAGGATGCCAGGCACATGCCAGGCATATGTAGATAGACACCTACTAAAATAGCTTTTGTAATCTAGCCGACGACGGGCCAAAGGTTACTCGAAAAAGTATAGCGTGAGCAATCTTCCCGATGGACCGACGACGTCACGGAGAGCCAATGGATGCAAGTGACAGGTTTTCGTTCGAAGTATAGGACTAAAAGCCTCCCCTTAGCTCTACACATATTTGCCTAGCTATGGGACATCTCGGGTGATGATGCTGATGATTTCCCTTCATCTCGTCGTCCCACCCACATTAGGTCATCCGTGTATCAATACCATAGATAACCGCGCCTCCTCCCCCGTTCCGTCACCTGCTTTAAGCCGAGGCTGAGGTGCCTCATTGCGCTTGCCCCGCAACCCCGGTTGAACATCAGCTCTATAGGGCCCCGTCTGTGGTGGTCTCTCTAGCCTTACCTTGCCTACGTCTAGTCAATTGATGATATGCCGACCCTAAAAAAATAATAATTATTAAATTTATTTTTCTTGTTTCAGGCCCCTTTGACGTCAACAAACTTCTTATACGAACTGGACAAAGTAACACAAGCAATTTCAAAACAGATTTTGGAAGCGAAACAACTAAATATGGACGGTGAAGTAAAATTCCCAGACTACCCGGGCTGCGTTTTAGACGCTGGCAACACACAACTAGTCAACCCACAGAAACTACTGAAGTTAAGACGGCAATTCTTAACTTACGCTAAAATGAATCATTCGAATGAGGAAACAAGTAAAATTGGAAGATATTTTATACAGTATTTGAATAAAACTTTGACAGATTAGAATTTTGTTTGCTTTTATTTTATTACAAGTGCTCCAATACAATTTTTTTACGGCATAGACAAGCATACCTTATCGTAAACAATCCACGACGACAATCCAAGGAGTTAAGATCAGATGAGTTACGAGTGCGTTGCCGGCCCTTTAGGTGATCGGGGATGGAAGGGCTTCAGTAACTGCCTTCGTTTTGAAGCCATGAAGTATGGTAAATATGTGTATATATTCGCTCCACCACACTTAAATATAATTTTTAACATATTCTTCACCGGCACTAGTGGGAGTCAAATGTGTTTTGCCGGACTTTTAAGGAGTACGCTCATTTCTTAAAAGGTTGAAGATCGTATGGCCGAACGATTTGCTGTGCGAGGCAGCCAGTTTTGCAAAAATCACACAGTTTTTGATTGGCGTTCACTCAACGTACCATTTATGTGTAAAAATATAGGACGATGGTGAAAAGATGCAGCAGGCATCATACCAAACGATTCTTCAGAACACTACCCGTGGTTTAGGCGATAGATCACATAGTGAGGGTTAACTTTTTGTGATAGATCTGCAAACTGTAATACGACGGCAAACGATCTGGCGTATTACCTGATGGTAAGCAATCAGCGCCGCCCTTTGGACACCTACAACAACGGATGAGTTACGAGTGCGTTGCCGACCTTTTGAGGATTAGGGATCTGGAGATGTTGGGATTGGGCCTCCTGTAACCTCACTCATACAGCGAAACACAGCGCTGTGGTTGTTCCACGCCGGTTTTTCTGTGAGGCGATGGTACCATTCCGGTCGAGCCAACGCATTCGTGCTGAAGCATGGCTCTCCTGCACTTAATACACACTATATTCCTACACAATGGCAGAGTCCAGCTAGCCCGTGATAACAGGGCAGTCTACAATTCGAAATACTTTTCGCTGAAAGCGGTCCACCCTTAGCTAAACATAGTATTAGAAAAAAAAACACAAGCAAAAAAATAAATCATCGTTTTTAATCTCTTTTCTTAACAAATAAACAACAGCTTTTTTGAACAGTAGAACAATTTGAGTGAATATAAATGTGCAAACTTGGGTACAGAATAATTGAAACAAAAGTTCCCATCACTAAAGAGATCAACAAACAAATATACATACATATTTTGACTTGAATGCAATGATGTACCTACTACATCCCAACCAACCTATTTAGTTTTTTAATTCTCCTCAAATAATATCTTCTGATTTATTTCGTTCCAAAACAGTTAGTCGCAGCGGTTGTGGCAGGTTGCGGCGGGCTTGTCCCAAAAAAATAATATGAAGCTCAACTAAGCAGGAATTAATATGGGGTTGTTTCTAACCAGTAAGAGATTGACAGTCCCTCTCAGCCCACACAGACATTTAATAATGTCCTTAATAGAGAAAATTTACTCCCACAATTATTAATTTACAAACTTTTCACGATTTGGTCAACAGGAATCAGATTTGAAACCTTTAGTCCTATAGCTTGGCTTGAAAATCTGATTTGTGACAATTCTACAAGCAAGATATTATTTGCAAACGTGGAGGGGCAACTATCGCCTCTTAAGGGTCTGTTAAACACCGAGACCCAACGCTGCAGGCTCAAAAAGCAACTTTATTTTTGACAGCATAAAATTCACTTTTAATACGTCTAGCTGTGAATGCCTCTCTGGTCTTTTAGACTGATATTACTAATAAGTTTGCACGGGTTAAGCCGTCCGCTCAGTCTCGATGTGAACTGACCTTTTATTACCCAAAAGAGCGTCGATTCGAAAAAAAATATAAATAAATACAAACTACATAATAAAATTTAAAAAACCCCCGACACTAAAAACATAAGCTACCTTTAAAAAGTAAAAAAACAGACACGTCAAACTTATTGAAGTTTTTGTTTTTTGTGACGTAGAAGTTATAACCTTTCATTTGATACCCCACTTGAGCATATTTGCAGACATTCGGTTTTGCTTCCCCACTTTAACTCCCCATAACTTTTAAAAGGCTCAATCGATTTTCATCAAACATTTCTAAGAACACTCGCCCGTAAGACAACTTAAATACAAAAAATCTAAGGAGGAGCTATGATACCACAGACAGACAGACACGTCAAACTTATAACACCCCTCTTTTTCCGTCGGGGTTTAAAAAAAATACGGCAAACCATAGATTATTGCATACACTCACTCAACTTGTTCTACTATTTCACAATAGTATCGAAATAAAACATTTAAAATACGCAACCAATACTTTTTTTTCAAAATCAGTACGACATAATATAATTCTTGGCCCAAATGACGTGTGATATAACAAGATGGGCCAGTTAAAATATAAAGTTTTTTTACAAATTTAAATAACAAATATGGGTAATTAATTAAAAAAGAATTATTATTAGTTACGTGCAAAAAAAATTAACAGATCGGACAACAGATTGCTAACGACTACTGTCAAGCAATTTTTTGTTAAAATACTGTTTGTTCATAAATTTTCTCTGACTACTCAACAGATGGCGTTGGTGTAGTTTAAGGATTTTTTCTCCAGTTTAATTCCTTATTATCAAAACATTTAACACACATTACATCCGCACGGTTTACCGAGCAGAAATTAAGATTTACAACCGGTTTCCGAAAGCCCGATCAATGTTAAAATCAATTTAATCTCTTGTTAAGTCATCTGATTGGTTGACTGAATTATCAACAGCCAATCAGATGACTTGACGAGAGATTTAACAGGATATTAGTTAATTTTAGCGTTGACAAGCCTTTCAGAAACCGGGTGTAACACTTAGGGATGATTTTTCAATAGTCAGATAAATGTTATCTGAGGAATATAATTATTGCTGTCACTCTCTTATACAAACATTCTGACGCGACAGCATCATAATTATTCCCCAGATAAGGTTTATTTAACCACTGAAAAATCAGGCCTAATACATATACAATTTCAAATATTACCCATATTTCTTACTCAACATATTTTATAACCAAGTAATCAATAATACGTTAACATAGGCGTAATAGATTATTTTACAAAATAACATCGAGCTTAACGAAAGAGATAGTCGCTAAATTTCAATATTATCTAGATCTGTAAATCTTAAAGAGTGACAGAGATAGATAATACTGAAACTACGCGATAAAGAGGGACAGAGATAGATATAATACGACTAATGTTTCCCTTCGAGTTCCTATATTATAGTTTATTATATAAACTAGATATTTTTTTATACAATATGTTATACAAACCCATTCCTATAAAAGGAAAATTTAACTTAAAATCATGTTCAAGCACATATAACATGCAGTAACCTGCGCGACGTGAATAGCGGCTCATGAGTATGAGCTCCTTGTGTCGCTTGAAACTTGTCGAGCCAGCTCGTCATACAGTAACGTGCTTCAGCCGTTTAATATTTACCAGCCGGAGGATACAATGGAGCATATAGTGGCGGGATGCCTATCTTAGGCTGAGGACCGCCATGTCCTCAGGTAATAATATCTATGTATTTGTCGCTAAGATGAAATTTCGAGAAAAGCTGAACCGATTTTGTTGTGCTATTAATGTCGGAAGATTCTTATCAAAGTGTATTTCAAAACTCAATCCAACGTTGGAAATTCCATACACATTACTGTCACTGACTAGTTAGACATCAAACGGTAAATACTAAACAGCTTTTTGGAGGGAGAAAGCCATCGAATGACTACTCCCGCACAGAGTGGAGCGAGGAAGAGAGTGTTAGACTCTTACTGACTAAAAACCACTTCGTTCCTCCTCCTTCTCTGGGCCGGGGGTGATACTGTATTGCGCTGGCATCCTTATCCCCAGGGTAGACAGAATAGGATTGATATAACATTTTGTAATAACTTTCTAAACACATCTACATTTTTAAGATTTAAAATCTATTTACATACAGGTTATTTCTTTTATGGTAAGTTTTTTCCTATCTTGCTGCTACTTCTTGAAAAGACCCTTGTCAAGCTTGGGAAATCTATTTTTTTTTTTTATTATATAAAAGGCAAAACTTTGCTTATATGGTTATCACAACTAGTATGGGTGCTTACATACGGTTTTTTTTGTGAGAGGAAAATCATCAAATGACTTCTCCCGGCCAGGGCCGGGCGGGAGGGAGTGTCAGACTCTTACTGACTAAAACCCCCCTGTTCCTTCACCTGCTCTGGGCCGAGGTCGCGGTGCCTCATTGCGCTTACCCCGCAATCCCGGCGCTTACATTCGGTACGGTTACCGCAGGGTTGGCAGGGTTAGCAAACTTTAGAATTAATAACATTCTGTTCCTTTATGTAAGCACTTAATCTCATAATTAAATACGTATCTATGGTTATATAATAATTGGATGTATTAATACATTTTACGGCTTACAAATGTTCAATAAGATTACTCGGCTTCATTGAAAATACTGACTCAACCAACAATACAAAAACAATTATTGATATGGGGAGTTAAAATCAAGGTTATTGGCGCCATGATTTTCTAAGGGCTCTGGCGTGGCTTGAAATTAATCTTTTTTATGTAATAGGTAAGCTAACAAGCAATCGCATTATTTGATGGTAAGCAATCCATAGACACCCGTAACACCAAAGGAGTTACAAGTGCATTGCCAGCCTTAACACATTCAGTGCCCCCGACGCGTATGTGCGTGCGAGGAAACGCACATACGCGTCGGGGGCACTGAATGTGTTAAAGGGATGATCATCCCGGAAATTTGGGGATGGGAGAGGGCAAGGATTAGGCCTCCGACGCCTCATACGGCGAAACACAACGCTATGGTTGTTTCACACCGGTTTTCTGTGAGGCCGCGGTATCACTGCGGTCGAGCCGACCCATTTGTGCCGAAGCATGACTCTCCCACACTCCCGCACTAGTCCGAGTAATCTCATCGAACAATTACGAGAATAAGCCGTAAAAATATTTAATTAAATACCGCACAATAGCTATCCTATTCTATTATATTAGTTTAGAAGAATTTTTTTGTCAGTCACTATCGCATTTTGCGATTATACCTACGTAAAGGATTATTGTAATATAATATACATATGCAAAACTTTCTAAGATCGAGTCTGAATTGGTGCATGGCAATATGCACC